TGGTTAATGAAGACATTTTGTAGCAGATCCTAGAATACTAATATATGCAGAATGAATCATCATACAACCATTAGTAGGTCTGATGAAGAAAAAAAGAAAAATTATTTGCCAGACATACCCAGAACTCTCCATATCAGGCCATTCAAATGAGAACAAAGTAGTATTGCCTCCCACATGTTTTACAGCTATATGAAAATATAGATTAACTTCATTAAAATCAGTTCTGCTTTTGATTCCTCACAAATGCAATTAATAAGACAATGAATTGCTACACCAACTTTTGGGAAACAGTTCTCCAAATTCCGGTGCTTCTAACATACTGTATCATGAACTCAGGGAGTGTGTTGCTGAAAAGTAACCAGGACAGTTACATCAGAGACAATTTCTAGCAGTGGAAAGCGGAGCAGAATATTTCAAATCTTACCCTTAAAAATAAAATATTCTGGCAGTTCTTAAACAAAACAAAATATCTATGTAAGATATGTTTAATTCTTTATCTTAACATTAGTATTACAAGTTCATGTAAAAACAAGACTTTGGAACAGTCGCTGGAAATTATCGGATATGATTGCAGTGAAATTTTTTCTATTGAATTGTTTTTTCTTGTCTACTCTTAAGAAAATGGTTGTAGAAAAGCAGGTAGGGTGAGAAAGTGCCATTACTGGCATGGGAAAAATGAGACCTGCCTGTCTTTCAAATGATTTAATCAAATGGATGAAAGAAGCTGTTTCAAGTTTTGCTCTGCATTCTTCTTAAAACATCCTTGCCTAGATTATCTTCTCTGAAAAAGAAAGCTTTTGTGCAATTAAATATAAACATGGAAGGTTACATCATGCTATGTCATATAACACAGGGCAGCATGACAAACCAAACAGTTGTAGTCTTTAACATCTGTCCATCCTTCAACAAGGAAGGCAGTATTGAAAATTTTCCATGCTTGAATATGATACTGGAAGCTTTCTGCAGCAGTGCTGATGCTGAAAGCTCCACACAAGAATACTGTTTTTCAAAAAGTTGTCAGTTCCAAAACTGTCTTTCTACAGAACCATCATACTTGGAAAAGCGTTTCTCTGTGTGCTCAGTTCCACAATAAGCTGTCACTCTTTTTTCATTATACCATACTGTTCCTTCTCAGACAAAACCACAAATTCTGTCTCAAGAGATTCCGTCGCTGCTACTTTTCTAAAGCAGTGATCTATGCAGTATTGACTTTGGTCAATCCATGTGGTTAATTTATGGATGACAGTTGTGGGTAAGAAGCACAAACTCCAGGACTTCAGGCTTACTTCTAGTTGAATAATTCAGCTCATGAAATGACTGTAAAGTTTTATAGTTCCCTGTTTTCAAGCCATTTTGTGTTTCTAATCTGCTCCACAATTGCAATTTTGAGTGCTATTGTTAACTTCACTTAATCTTCAGTAAACTGTTTGCAGAAAGATAAGCAGTGCAGTGCTTAGAAAGATTGGGTAGAAAGAGAAAAAAAGAACAATGAGCCAAGAGTAGGTTACAGAAATGAGAGTACACTTTCTTGGTTTAAAGAAAGTGTGTGGTGGATAACAAAATGAGCAAGGAGAGTCTCGTAGCCAAGAGTATAATGTAATACTCCTAGCTTCTGAGACCACTGTCTTCAGCCTTTTTTAATATTGTTATTAGGGAATAAAGTGATGAAAACCTCTTCTTTGAATCTTAATTAATGTTTCAATCAACAGATCTGTTCTGCTTGGAACAGATGTGGTTCATGTGAGGGAACTGCAGACCCAATTGCATGACCAAAACTCAGACCAAGCTTTTATTGTGGTGTAAGCGTATATACGATGGCAGTGTCAGTTTAAATTCATTCCTCTGTATGAAGTGGGCCTACTCTTCTCTTCCCAGAGACTCTGCTATTACCTGAATTCCTGTATGGAGTGCACCATAATGTAGCATTAATAGCAGTGAAAGTGGAAAGAAATCATTCTTGATTAATTGCAGTCTGCAGCTGAAATGGTTTCTCTTACAGATGTGAGAAGTCACTGTTTACCGGATGAATAATGAGAGTGAGTTATAACCACTCATGCTTTTAATATCCCCTAACTAACTTCACAAATAGCAATGCAACCTGTTGAAAGGCAAAGCAAATTTAGCTTTAGATTATCAGAATTTTTTTGTTGTAGGAAATTGAAAGTTTAAAATCCAAGACATTAAAAGCATTTAAATAGGTCACTGCTTTAGAAGTCCATTTCTACTGTGAGTTACAAGGCCTACAGACAACAACTGGTTTTGGGCCTATTTCATGAGTGTCTCTTGTGCTTGACGTGGGAGCTGTAGGATTAAAAGCAAAATGTACAACAACCTAAGCTGTTGCTTACCTAAACTCAAAGCAACGCTCCATTTTCTTTAGTGTTTGAAATATAAGCATTCTTTTCTTTGTACTTTGGCCTACTGCAGTTATATACGTTTTTATCGAATGTTCTCCAAGCTGTTGTGTCTGTCAATAAGGAATTATGTTTAAAGTAACAGATATTAGAACTTTTTCCTTTTTTTTTTTTTTTTTTTGCAGTGGGTATAGCACGGACACGGTATGTATTTTATAAAAATGAAACGTATTTACTCTCTAAACATTACCATTTTATTACATGTGCTACTATAAAGCCTGCATAACCAGTTAAGCAGCTCGTAGGCAAACAGTGGCCTTGGTACACCAGGCTGTTTTACTCTGAAAGTTCAGTGACTTGTTTTGACTTTGTGCTGCGTACCAAATACTTAAAACAAAGACAGCCTGCATTACACACTACCGGGGACAGCTGCAGAGCAGAGTGAAACTGGAATGGTCACATGATAGGAAATAAACACAACAAATCTCTCTTGGTACTGATGCAGATAATATTAGGAACACCAGCTGTTCCTGGTCACAGTAAATGTTATATTTTAGCAAACTTTTTTAATCTTAATCTGAATTTCATTTACCTATTTACACTCAAAGAAATATTCATGTAATATTTTTCCCATTTGGATCTCAATACACTTCCTTATGTTTTTCTATATTGTTCATCCCTTTTTAGAATATGAGAAAATAGCTTTCTTTTCCCTTCTTCATTCGTTATTTTCACAGGCAGTATAAAGGGGCTTCAAACTGTGATGTTATAAATGTCAGCACTAAATTGGTTTAAATGGGTAAAAAAAACGTTTTGTTCCTTCTGCCCCTACCTTTCCAGTTCCCAAAATCTTCATAAACGTGGATGTCTTTATGTAATTACTGCAACCAAATGTTGCATCATTTGGAGGCCATTAGTTCCAGGATATTTTTACCTCTGCACAGGAAGACAAAGGGATGGATTGTGTCTGGGCCTGGAGGTGTGATATGCAGGAAAGGGATTTGAAGAGGCTCTCATCCCAGTCCTGCTCCTGAGGAGTCAAAGCACCTGTGTGAGAGTAGCCACTAATGCTCATGCTGCCAAAAAGAAGCACGTGACAACTGGTGATGGTTTACAAATGTTGAAACTTACACAGAGTGTTTTGTTTATACCTTTTCCATTCAGAAACACTATTTTCTTCTGAGCGCAAGAAACTTGAAAGCAAACTGAACTTGACAGCAAAAATTGTTTTCTTCTTAATTGCTGTTCTTAAATCTTTTAGGAAAGAAAAGAATACAGGGAGCTGACAGAGATGTATACTGAGGGCCACAGGAGGAAGAAGGAATTTGCATTCTTCTGTCTCCTGCAGCCAGTAGAGAGAAGTGGCTGCAAACAGCCCAATTCCTTGTAAGAAATGTAATACTCATAAGCTCAATGGCCTTGTGTCCAAGTAGTAAAGAAATAGGAATTAACTTAAATGGTCATGTGAAGTACATCCTGGTACAAAAATCATTTTTGGCCAAGGGAATACCACTGTGAGTCCTTCTACATCAAATAACTAATTAGTTCAGGACAAGAGTGTGCCTTTGAAGGTAGTCTCCTGATGGAATTTTATTTACCATGCTTTCCTTCCAATACTGAACACTGGTATAAATCTTTGAGAGAATCCATTTTGATGCAATACTTTTTGCTACTCGATCAAACATGCTGCAGTTCATTAGCTTGATTGCTGAGCAGTTTTTACATTTTATATTAATAATTAGCATCTCTGTTTTAATTATCATAATGTATGCAAATATTAAAAGCATAATACCCACCTTTCAACTTTTCCAGCATTAAAAATATGTAAAGATACGATTCATTTTGGAACAGACTTTGATGATGCACTATGAATGTAGATAACCACAGTTGCTTAAGAGGTCAAGAGTTGTAGTATTACTTTTGCTAATTCTGACATGAACTACAAGATCATGCAAAAATCTGCTCAGTCACTTGTGGAGAGAGGTAAGGTCTTTTTTAGTGCCTGTGGATGGTTGTAACAGAAGAATGAGGTCTCACCTGTGCTTATCAATAAGTATTAAAAACCAAACACATAGATAAAAAGCCTTTAAACCCCCTTATATCTGTTTAAACATCATAATGTTGAAACTAAAGGGTGAGAGTCAGCTTTTCTTTGTGGTTATGTTGTATTTTTGTTTGTTTTATTTTAGAAAATATTGATTTGATTTCAAACTTATCTTTGCAACTGTAAGGCTGGAAGCTTTATGACTATGAAAGCTGAGACTAACTTCATCTTCTAAGTAAAGGATTAGAGCATGAAAGATGACACAGAAAAATCATAATCTAATGATTTCTAAGAAAGAAGCAATGCTTTTGATCAACTGCTATGTATTGAATGACTGATGACTGTAAGTACTGTACAAATGTGAGAAGCATAGTGCCCTGTGTGCTTTGCAACTACAAAACTTCTGCTATTGGTCTTTTGTGAGAAATTTTGCAAAAGTTTTTATCTGATCTTTTCCCCATATTTTTCTATTAAGGGTTTCTTTTCAATAATATCAGAAAAAAACACACAAAATTTTATTTCAAAACTATAACTATACTTGAGTTTGTTGGAGTATAACCCTTCATCTTTTAAACAGAGTGAACTGTACAAGAGGTCAGGAAAACATTTAAACATAATTTTATTCATTTTATTTTTATGAAAGTATCCATAGTAGTATCAGAATTTACTTAGTTTCTGCTAACTGAATGCAGATAATCATCCTCTGAAGAATTTTTAAATTATGTGCTGTAGATTGAGGTGGAGGAAGTGTTCCCCTGTTCCCAAGGAGCACTCTGTAGCTGCTGCTGATTTGAAGTATGTAGTCAGACCTAAAGATGCTTACAGTTGTGCTGCCAAGATGAGGACACTACAATGGGATAGAGGGATGCTGAGGTTTTCCGTTTTCCTTTGTATAAAAAGAACCCAAATCAGAAGAGATCATGATGGTGTAAAGGAGCATTGTCGTTTCTAGAACCCAAGACAAAACTACAAAGATACGCATTATTCAAAGTAAAAAGTGATTAAAGACCATGTCAAATCTAAGTTTATGTAACTAGGAAATTGTGCTTCTCAGAAGGTAAGATGGTAAGAATAACTATATGCTTTGCTTTCCTGGTATCAAGAGAGACCACGAGAATTCGCTGTAAAAAATGAGTTTCTTTTGCTGTCAACATAAAGAGCCGGCCCAGCTCTTTATTTCTTCTCAAGGGATTAACAAATAACTCTTAAGTCATATGCAAGTGTTGGACCTATTATTCATAGCTAATTTTCTATTATATTGTTAAGCAAAACCTCTGGGAGTGATAGTTTTTGCCATAGATCTCTGGTTATTGCGTTACATTTCACAAGAGCACTACTGTTGGTTCTTGCTGGGTTTATTTCTGACTGTTATCTGTGAAATCGTGAATGTGAAATGAAATGTTAATCAAAGCAGCCTGGATGGACAAATGATCAGTGCAATAGTGGCTCTGAAACAAACAGATGGATGTGCTCTTCTAACTTGCATGAATGGGGGCTTGTGAGGAGAAAGATTATTGAAACCTAATACATACCTCAATACAAAGCTAAAGGTGGGCTCTGTGCTCGTACACAGTTATACTTTAAACATCTCACTTGAGATGCATTCGGATATGACCCATACTTTTCATTTGTAAAGTGTATTTTAATGTTTAAATCCCACAACAAATAACTTCTGCCATATATATTCAGCAAAGAACACTTCATGTTTCTGTACCAACGTTTATGCATTTTTTTGCACATGAAAATGAAGCTTTTCAAAAGAAGGTCCTTTGCTTATTGCACAAGTGAGTTGGTACAAACTGTGAAGGGGCATGCATTACAGACCTTCAAAGCTTTTACAGTACACAGGCTTATCAGTTTTAATCCTGTAACACCTAGATTATTCTTAAAATACAGTGTTTATTTTTGGACCCTATTTACTGCTTTAAATCTAATAAAAGCACCTGTTACATAAACTCGTATACACTCGTAATTTTCATTTTGCAAGCTGGAATGCTTTAAAAAGAAAACAAAAGGAACATTGGCTTCAACTGGATGACTCAAAGCCCGAAAAACACCAGTTTTACACCAATTTAATTCTTTTGGTTAAAGGTAGGATTTTCTCTCTTATCATCTTACTTAGTTCTCCTGCAGTAAGCTCTATGTGTGCTAATAGAGATTTTGTTACCTGATTAAGTATCCAAACAAAGTTGCATTTTAGCTATTCCAGTGAAGAAAAAAAAGAAAAAAAAGTGGTTGGTAGGTAAATCTTAACATTCTTGTGTTTTCAGCTTTATGCTTAAACAGTTGGACAATAAATGGGAGGCAGCAGCAGTTAATGGGTGCTGGAGTGGGAGAGACATTTGAGAAAGAAGAGCATGATAAAAGGATAGAACTTTGTTTCTGCTAAGGAAGAAGAGATTTGTTCACTGTTCTTTATCACGTTTACAGTGAGAAATAGATCTCAGCATCTAAAGTACTTAAAATACACCATATCAACTGTTTCCATGATTTCTGACACACGGCCAGTGACTTCCTGTTGATTTGGTTGCTCTTTCATCAGAAACATCAGGGAATGTTGTAGAATATCTGTAGCAAATTAAGGAAATCTGTTTTTAATTGAAACAGTTACAGTCTGAAACAAATAAAATGTACATTTACTGTTAAAACTTGCACCAATTATTTTCCTTAATGCTGTATTTGCTAACAGGACAATTTGAGGTGCTGAACATAAGTGCACTAAAATACTCTTAGACTTCAGATGAATGGTACCTAATGGGGAAGGGAGTAGCCTGCCCCAACTGAATCTTATTATGTGAAGTTCTATATGCAGTCATGAACTACATTTCCTTTCCAAGACTACTTGTAACACATTTACAGTGTGCTTGCAATATATTCAAGGTGATGTGTCCAGTTATCATTCTTCCCTCTCAAATTACAAACAACATCAGTCAAAAGCTAACACGAGCTGGGACATATGGCATCTCAAAGTGCATAAACTGCTCAGCTTCCACTTGTGCCTGGCTTTCCCTGGTACCAGGAAGTTCAGGGCCTATTTGTGAATCTGGGTCCTTTTTTCAAGACAAAGTAGCTTTTAGGCATTCCTACCAAAGGAGATGTTCCTTCCCTGTTCTTGAATCATTCACACACTCCTGCCCTCCATCAGACCTTCCTTTCTGCCAGGACACGATCATATAACTGATCAGTAAAGCAGATGGGAGTTTAACTTAACTGATTTTCTTTTCCCTGGTCTAGCTGTAACCCAACCCAGCTTGCCATACAGCATTACAAATGCTTTTACAGGCGCAAAGAAAGACAGAGCACAGGTGTGAAAGTGAGCAGCTTACAGCAGAAGTAGAGCTGTGTTTCTCAACCCTGCTGCAGCCTTATCGTGATCTAATCGTGAAACTATGATACTGCTCTATTGAAATTCAGCTTAGGAATTAACATACTGGCGAGCACAACTGAAATCAGGCTTTCAGCTGCCCACAGACTGTACAAAGAGGATCGGGAATGTATCCGAGACGTATAAGCAGTCTCTACACTTTTAACAGATCACAAGCAAACATAACAGAGATTTGTATTTTATGCTCACTGTAAGGTCAAAACCACCTGAAGAAATGAAATGGATCTCAAAAGGCATAGTGTGAGGTGTTAGAAATTGCTACTAATGACCTTGATTTCCACTGGAAACTTCCTGGAACTCACACTTCTCTCAGCGTTTCAAGCATATGCTTCCTATATCTTCTTTAGGTAAGGCCTCCTATTGTTGTGTGTTTTCGTTTGTTTTTCATCATTAACATCATTATCGTTTTTGAAAGGGTCGAATAACAAGAAGCTTTAGCAGTGAGCTAAACGTCTGTTTTCTGAGATTACACAGTGGCAGGGCGTGGAATTGAACCCAGATGCTTCGCTGGGCCGATAACAAAGGAGGGTTTGCTATTTTTTCCAGCTCTTATCCAGTTCCTCCCTTTAATCACGAAACGTGCCCTTATGCGTAACCGCTGCCTGTTACTGTATGCTCAGCCTAACTCCGCTTGCTGAATCCTTCAGTCACAACTGGGAGCATAAGCGGAACCTACCCTTGTTCTCTAATGCCAGGTTATGCAATCAGATTAAAAAGCCATCTGCAGCACAAACCCAAACTGCGGCATAATCGCGTTCCCTGGCTCAGGCAGGTCTTCGGCTTACACGGGATCTGCGTCTCCTCAAATCGCTCGCTGACCTCCCGGTTACTCTTCTGATTCCACAAGCGCACGGTAATGGATACGGCCACATATTTCCGCGGTTACCTCACGGCGCTCGGGGCGCAGGCAGCCCAGATGCCTGTTCGCGAATTTAAGGGTTCAAAAGGAACGCAAAGCCTCCTTTTCGCGCTCCTTACGCACTCGGGCGAAAATAGGTCAGAGCCGGCCCCTCCGTCACCGCAGCGGCTGAGCTATTAAAGGCTTTGCGTTAACGCCGCTCTCGTGTAGCTTTCCGAGAGCTGAAACGCTCGCTCTTCTCGATATCGCCAGCGTTTTGGCGGCACAGCCCCGCCAAACGCCCGCATTTCAAATCCCAACGGCCGCGCCGCCGGGGAGGAGCGAGGGCGGCCCCTTACCAGCCAGCCCGAGCCGCCACCACCCCAGCGCGGTCCGGCCCCCCGGCGGCGGGGGGTGGGCAGAGTCGCGGCACAGAGCTGCGCCCCGCGCCCCTCCAGCGCGGCCGGGGCCGAGCGGAGCGCCTCCCCCGCCGCGCACCTCGGGAGCCGTAGTTTCCCCGCGTCGTCCCTCGCAGCGGAGAGCGGCGGGCGGAACTGCATTTCCCGGCGCGCCCCGCGGCGCGGCTGCGAGCACGCGCGGTGCGACGGGGCGGGGCGGCGGGCAGGTTGCTGTTGTTGCATAGGAAACAGCTGAAGAGTCTCCACATGACAGAGGGGGAAGGAGGAAGTGGGGCGGCCCGTAGGGTGCCGCCAGTGCGCCGGTAGCTGCGGAGCTCGGGTGCCCGTCGCGCTGCGCGTCCCCCCGCGGCGGGCGAGTCTCGCGGTTCGGGCTGAGCGCGGCCGGAGAGCTCTCCGGGCCCAAGTGCCCCCGCCGGGAGGAAGCGGTGGCGGCGCTTGCGGGGCTTCCCGCCGGCCCGCCGCGGGGCATGAACGGCTTCGCTCCCGAGGAGCTGCCCCAGCGCGGGGCCGACCCCGCCGCCGCAGCCGCCGCAGCCGCGGCGAGCGGCGCGGGCTCCGTGGCGGAGGTGCCGGCGGGGCTGGCGCCCCCGGGGCTGACAGGAAACAGCTGAAGAGTCTCCACA